GCTGTATTCTTCATAATAAAACTATTGCCACTAGTTGAATGGTGAATGAATGTTGAAAATCTGGAAAGAATGATAGCACACTGGAGAAAAACGTTGCAAGAATATGGTTCAGTCATAATGCATCACCCATACTCATAACATGAAAATGCAGATGAACTAACATGTTGCACAGTGACATCTTGTTCATTTGTCAAATATCCTGATCCTGAACACTGTGTGGGAGTTAAAACCATTTCCATAACTACAACATAGTCATACATTAGAAGACTTCAATAGAAAAAGAATGCAACAATTCACATTCACACTTTGGAAGTTCTAGGAAGAGTAACTTAAAAACTAGGCCTAGCATGGTCACTCACTGTTATGCAGCAAGGTTAAACCAAACCAGCACAAATAAAGTAAAGCAGTATACATGTGTGTAACCCCTGGCACTTGTATGGTAATTTACAGATGCAGAAAGTTATGCTACACCATCATTATAAATCACTGAGCCATAGTTTACACTTCGTACTGCAACAAGTGGTCCTCAGAACTATAAGGCAAGGGATTCTTCAGATTTTGCATATCACAAAATACTGGAAAACACCAAGGTATTACCCACATTTGTGCTTACATACAAGGGTAGTACTACTGACTGCGTTCGGGTTGAGATGGCACACGTGTGAATATTGCATATTGCTGATCCGCTCAAAGAGATTGACAGAAGACATCACTACATATTCATTGCCATTGACTACTTCATGAAGGTGGACTGAGACTTACCCATTGAGCAATAGATCATTATAGCCTGTAACTGGTGTGTTAGTGAAGAACAAAATAGCAAGGTTTGAAGCATCAGAAGAGATTCACATGGATCAATGAAAATTTAAACAATTAATTGATCTCTGCTTTATGTGGTGAAGATTCCCACTCTTTACCTTATCCCCCCCCCCCAGTCAGATGGTTTAGCAGAATAGATGATACAAACTACCAAGCATATGCTTGGCGAGTGTATAAATCCTGGCTAAATTGTCTGGGATAAGCAATTCCACATACAGACCAACTAAGCAGAGGTCTACAGGCTGTTTATTGAATATACTCATGTTTGGATGGGAAATACTAATTCCTGTTGATATAATGTACGGTTCTTCCCTATGAGGATATGTCTAACACTGTCTACAAAAATATGTTGAGTGGTTAAAGTCTTCAACAGGCAATGCACACAAATTCATGCATCAACAATTTGGAAAGACCAGTTGACGACATAAGAAATGTTATTACAAGATGGTAAAGAAACAGATGTATCATTATGGAGATTGACTGTAATTGTGGTACATAGTAGTAACATGGAAGTAGCTTGAATCTGACAAAATCATTCCATGTTTTGTACTCTGGCAGATTGGTCCATTGAAATATGAGTTACATCAGATTAGAGGTGAAAAAATTACACGGAACCCAATGATGAGCTGCATCTACATGCTACAGATGAACCTTAAAATACTCTGGGTTCATCATGAATCTGGAGTTGAGACCAGTGAGTCAGAGGAGGATAAGAATGCCATCTCAAATCAAACGAACTCACCCAACGAGGAAGAAAGAGCTAAAATTAGAGGTGAATAACAGTTTTGACATTCAGCTAAACCATCGACATTGGCCTCCTGATTGACATAGTTTGGACTACACAACTATAAAAGCTAGTAGATGAAATGCATAGTACATCAACAGTTTGCACAACTGAAGATGGAATGCTAGGAGCTTGAAAAATCAATTGAAATAGCATATTGAGCCGTCAGGTGGAAAGATAAGATACAGCATATGGCCTAAATTGTATACATGTAACTCAATCATCAAAAGCTAGAACAGTCATTCGGTCAAGAACCCACAGATGGAAAGAAAGTGTATTGCATTATTTCTGAAATATTGGGTGGTATATTAAGGTACGATATACGCACTATATTGTATGATTACTAGTTGAACATGAAAAGTTAGTACAGCTGAAGCTAGTAGTTGCAATGCAGTGCATGAACAGCTTTCACAAATGAAGGTGGTATGTATTAGTTCGAAGATTCAATTGAAAGGGCATTGCAACCCTTGCTATCTGAACTGTCATGTAGAATTTTATGGTATAATGAAATCACTACCAAATAGTAGCTTTTGAAGGTAGCCCGAGAAGGCTACCTAAGAAAGTTAAACGCAAGCCAGCGACAGTATGCTAGAAGCTACTAAAGTATGTGTGTGTGGTGTTGTACGCATTTATGAACATTGCATACAATCATCCATGAGTGTTGTATAACATGGCTGAATCAATTGCACAAAATACACAACAGTGAGCAACATGTGTATGGAAACAAAGGATTTATGATAATTGAGCTGAAAGTTATTATTTAAAATACCGTACACCTATTATTTTATTAATGCCAATTAAAGAATGTTTTTATTTTGATGTTAAAATGTTGAACAGGTAATGAATTTTCACGGAAGAGATAAACGTGAAAAAAAGATTCATGCTACATCTGAGAGAAAACAGTTTTACATGGTGTTTTTCATAAAGAATAGTACAATACATTTTATTTGGGTTGAACTGAAATATATATATCAGTGGGTGGAGTTATCAATAGAATATGAAATTCACAATACCTTAAATATCATAATAAATACAAATCAGTGTTTTATTTGGTTGGGATATAATATTTTTAGTCACGCAGATTGAAATATTTTGAATAAGTTTAAAGTGCAGTAATAATACACAAAAATACAGACTGTAAATGTAATAGGGGGAGGCAGAAAATAAAACTTGTAAGATGAAAGCTTTGTAAGTCGCACCAGAACTGGTACCAAACTCGTAACTGGAGAAAGATCCGTAAGAAGAGACAGTGGGAATATTATTTATTAGTGGAATCTAATGGTCAAAAGTAAGGGTTGGCATCTTCTAACTCAAACTGGCTCATGTGTGGAGGAACCAATCTGCTGTCTCGATCCCATTCCTTTTTACTGGAATTGGGCTCTATCCATGTGTTAACGAAATATAGGGAGAAGAATGATGCCAGGTTAGGTAGTAAATCATGTCATCTGTTGCCTGGCAGGGACAACATAGGGCAGCAGGGATAAAAGTGACGATTAATTAGAAACCCAATGAAACCTGGAGATTAGGATATTAGGTTATATAGAAACTAGGGATAAATCTTTTTTGGAAAATACAGGATTTGAGTACATGTGAAGCCCATAGAAATGTCGTTTTACTATTTATAACCCCACCCGTTAAAGATTTTAGAGCAGATCATAGTTATACGTAAGCAGTTATGACCTTTTTTTTTCAACTTATAAACTTAATCACTTTTAATCAATTGAAATTCACATGACATTGCATTTCCAATCCAGACTTTTGGCTATTTGGTTAATTGTGTCTTAAAGTCAAATTTGAATGTCAGCTTGAGACACACCTGAAACAGGAGAAGACGGAAAGGTGTGCTATGCAGGCTTATCATACATCGTCTAGCTTCTTATTTAAAATACCAAAATAAGATGGAACTGCTTCAAAATCAGTTTTATTACAAGTTACTGTTTCCAATAAAACCTAAAGCTGACTGTCAAAACTTTATGTTTAATATTTCAAAATAAGAGTATCAAAATTTATGTGATGCTCACTCTCACAAGGATGAATACAAAGAAACGTTATTTTTACAGGATACAGTGTTTATTTCAAAAATATATATAAATATCATTATAAGGAAATAACTCCTAAATATAGAAAAATACCAATAAAATAATTAAAAGCAATTTATCAGGATAGTTGGAACATTGGTAAGTAATGGGTTAAAATAATTCAATAATATCTTTGCCGATATATATTATTATAAAATATTTATTTCCAACAGGTTGTTCTTAAGGTTTTAAACTCTACATGTGCTATAGTCCGAAGAAATGTTTTAAATTAAATTTTTATTGGGCTATAGCTATACTAAAAGTAATGTTTCTCTTAGCTAACAATTGAAAAGTAGTTTCGAGGGTAAAACATAAGCACTTAAAGATCAAAAATCAGAGAGAATCACGATATTAAAATACTATTTTGCCCCCTTTTTTATATCCATAAGGCTAAAAAGTGTAACATTCACACGATTTCTGGCACACTTACACATCTAGAAAAAAAGCAAGTATTTAAAAAAATGGAGTTATAGTGCTACTTAGAGAAACTTTTAAATAATTATAAAATTATGCAATTATCTCTTATAAGATCTATTAATCTACAAATATTCAATTAACGTATCCTGATGGATTTCATGAAGCTCTATTTTAGGGATTTTATAATTCATGTCTAAATTACCCCGTGTAAATGAAGGTACTTGAAACATTCAAAATGGCTACTTGCCCTTTTCCTAAAACTCTTTACCCCGTATAAATGAAGGTCTTTGAAACATTCAAAAAGGCTGCTTGCCCTTTTCCTAAAACACTTTAAAACGATACTACTTAAGCTACTGCGGGACCTCATCAGCCGTGGAATTATTTGAACAATTGCTGTTGAACAAATATACCTTTAAAAATTAAATTTCAGAACTAAAGAAGCAAATAAAAAGAAATATGTACTCAAAGTTCTGTATTGCCAACATATTCTAAATGTAAAGAGAAAACTTTGGTGTTTTCTTACATACTATATGTAATTAATTATATAATATTTTACGTAAATAATTAAGTACAATCAACCTACTTTATAATTCAACAAATACAGAACAATGATTGTTTTCTTTGTCGACTATATTTTTCCTTCACTAATTATAATCCTTAAATTGTATTCATATATAGATATTTAAGTGAAACAAGACTTTAAATATATTCAAAAGAAAACTAATCGCGTCAGTGAAAATATAATTTACTACTACAAAAGTCATTAGATCATATACTTGGCTGTTTTGCATACATAACTCGATTTTCATATTTCATAAGTTTTATTTGTAAAACTCCTTTTACTGCACAACACTAAAATATTCACGGTAAAACTGAACTGCTGGAAAACAAAAAAAACTTACTTTCTTCACCCAACTTCGCAGCATATCCATCTTTAAAATTAGTCCTCAATGATTGGTTTTCTCGGTTTTCGTTGAAATGTCCATATATTTCCCGATGTCTCGACTGAAGGAGAGAAAAGAAAAAGCTACTAAGATATCCTATCCTTAACTAAAAATTGAAGTAAGAATACAAGCTTTATTTACTGCTTTGCTTTGGATAGCTTTGGGAAAAGAAATATAATTGAGATCGAATCTAGATGTCTAAAAGGAATGACAACCCATGCTTTGTGTTTTTTAATATAAAAGAATTAAAAAGTACCTTATTTCTCTTCGAAAAAACTACAAGTTTAAAAAGTGGTTGGTAAATGTAATATTTTTTCTGCTATAAAATTAGAGCTTATAACGCTAAAAACCTGGTTTTGATACTCGCAATGGACATAGTACGGACAGTCCATCGTGTAGCTTTGTTGTTAACAGCAAACAAACAAAGTCATAGAATTAAAATGTTTCGTGTAGATTTAGAAAACCGTTATTCGTTATGTTTTTAATATTTTAAAGAAAATACTCATGTTGATTAAAAACTGACTTTTATCAACTTAAACTACTAATATTTCTTCCAATATTTTTAAACCACCTGTTAAGATACACACATACATATATATATATAGTGGTTGGATAAAATAATAGAAACACCTGTTAGTTTCAATATTTTATTTATTCATATGGAGTGGGTCCTCCATGACTAGGCAATACAACATTAACACGATGTGGAATTAATGTGAATTCTAATTGTTGAAAAGATGTCAAGTGGTAGAAATGTGTTTCGAAGATTGGTTTCTAGAACTAACCGTAAAGGCTCGATAATATTTACGTCCGGTGGCCCCCCAGTAGCACAGCGGTATGTCTGCGGACTAACAACGCTAGAATCCGGGTTTTGATACCCGTGGTGGGCAGAGCACAGATAGCCCATTGTGTAGCTTTGTGCTTAACTTAAAAAACAAACAAACAATAAAAAACAAAAAACAAACGTCCGGTGGTGACTGTGGTCGTCAAGTTAAGTGCACAGTCTCTTCTTCTTCATTGTTCTGTGAATTAATCTCTAACAATTTAAATAATGAACTGGCACATTGTTTTACTGAAACAGACTTTTTTCCGTTTAGGAATAAATTGTTCATCATAGCGTTAATCTGGCATGCAATAAAGTTCAAGTAATCATTACTATTACTTTACCTTTCGGTGAGAACATAGACCCTAAACTATTCTGCAAAAAAACGATGCCCAAACCATTAAGTCTTCACAACACTTAAGAAGTTGCACCAAAAAATCTAGGGTGTAAACTACTTTTAGTTTTCGCCACACCCACATCAATTTAATGAGAAGAATCTAAAATATGATTCATCTGACCAAACCACATCCTTAAATTGATCATCGGTCTTATTAATTCATTTTACATTTTGTTTTTTAGTGTTATTAGAGGTTTCTGAATGGCAGACCCATCACAGTAACCTATCTTGTTACCTTCGAGTCGAAGGCTAAACTTAAAGGCTTAAGTTCTGCGCAGTTTTTTACGCTGCAGTCTTCTGTTTTTGTCTAACTCTCGTGTTCTCGTCTGTCATAATCTGTCAACTTGGTTTTTAGACCATTATTATGTTTGTCTGGTGTGTTTTTATTTGTCAATATTCATGCTGACATCACTTTTGACGCTGTTCCTCGGGATACATTCATTATTTCAGGTGTTCCTGTTACTGAGAGTCTATTTAGACGTTCACTTACAATCATGCTTCTTGGGAAATCTCACGAAGCGTTTTATGAAAAAATAAACAAACAATAATATAATACTCATGTACAGAAAAATTCAATGACACAGAATAATTTAATGCACAATTAAATTACAATATAGCTACATTTACCATCTTAAAATACACCAAAACTAGGAATTAAAAATATGAAATGTTTCTATTATTATGTCTAACTTCGGTACGTTTAAATGTTTTCCTTGTTTTAAAGAAATTATTTAAAGATAGAAAATTTAAAATAATCCATAGTGGTAAATATTTTTGTTATAAGTAAACTGAAACACACCCAAATGACAATATTCACCAACATATTTATCCATGCCTTTTTTGGTGTGCGTGTTTCCAAATGTCACAAAAATGTTTAAAAGTAAGTTTAAAGACAGTTGAAATAAGTGTTAAATTTCTTAATTTTAAAATAGATTTATCGCTTATGGGGAATATACAACGTCATTGAACTCCTTTCGAATACAGCAAACATTCAATTGCCTTTATTTTCATAACTTCCATTTTATAATCTACAAGTAAAAACAAAACACTTTACACTTGCAACTGTGAAATGTTTTTCTTATTGTCTGTAGCGTCTTCAGTGATATCCAAAGTATCATACACTATACTAGCACAAGTGTTTCGACTCGTAAGTTCGTCAGCACTTAATCACGTTTTTTGATACATGTAGTAGTTAAAGAACTAATAAAGACTGGGATGATTAAGGTGTTAGAATCACTATACATATATATACACACACACACAGTGTTATAATTTCACTTGAGCAACTTCTGATTTTATTATTAGATAGTGTGTGAATTCACTGACTGGTCACTTTTTTAGGATCTCCAACTAATATCGAATTCAACCACCTGCGGAAGGTGTTTTTCTAACCTATTTATTGAGTAGTGTGTTTCATACCCAGTTAATCTGTGGGTAGATATAGTGAAAAATGTGAATTTCAAATTAATCTTAAAGACTCTCAGTTAAATGTGAAAATCAGATCCGACGCCTGCGCTGTCCAAGGAAGATAAGTCACAGTCGTGTTTATTCAAATTACTTTCAGACAACACGAACGCAGCAGCTTGTTGCATATCAGTCTTAAAATACTTCTTGTTCTGAGGTTGTGTTGAGGTTTACGGGAATGGTGAAAACTTTGAAGTACATTTTGGATTTTATTCTCTCTTCTAAGTGAATCAAAGGTCTCAGATATTACCAGGAAAGCGTTTTTTTTTAGACCATTAAACCACCTCTAGCAGTTTGTATACAGTCAGAAAATCACAAGCAGAATGAAGTGAATTGTATAGTTTTATCATTTTTATTATTATTTCTCAGTACAGGAAAGAGTGAAGCACGATTTATACCCTATCATATATACCACCAGTCATTTAGGTGTTTTCGTTTCGGATAGTTTCTCATGACATCCTTTGCATAGTACGATTAAAGATAGTGAAATTCTGGCTACAGTTGAAACAATCTATCAAATGGAACCCAGTCTATCGTCTACTGCAATTTACAAGCCTATCTTTTCCCATGGTAAGCAGGTACTATTTTTCAGGCAGTTATTTCTATTGACAGAAATATTCCTTTTCGGTTACCACTACCATCAGTTAATGTTGTTGTTTATTTTTCAGCGCAAAGCTACACAGTGTACTATTTACGCTTCGTCCACAGTGAGGTATCTAACTCCGAATTTTAGCATTCAACTCAGGAAGCTTATTTACATTTTAATAGGCTTAAGCGATCATCTTTTGCATAACATTATCAGCCTGTTTTGCGCATAAAGAATAAACAGAATGTTCGAAAACATGTATGGTGCTCCACGCACTGATCAGTCAGTGTACGCAACCACACGTACACATGTGCTAAATCAATGATAAAACTCTGATGATAATAGATATGTGTTTTAGTTAAAACACTGTTTGTTGCCGTTCTTGTGAAATCAGCTGTACGTCAACCATAGTTTTAAATCTTTATATACCAACTAAATCGTGGTTTGGCAGCACACTTACTTAGAGCTGTAATTTTGTAAATAGGATTCTATAAACGATCTTCCTTAACAATATTCATTTCCTGCCTAGAAAGTTTTATACATATTACAGCTTTATCTATTTCAATAATGTTCTTAGGAATTTCAACTGGTGGCATTTAACCCACCAGTGAATAATCGAAGGTGGTTGTTTCTTCAGATTACAAATATGTTAACTCTTTAATGAACGAATAAATAATCTGTTGAGGATAACAGACATTCTGACATACCAACAATGGTGTAGCTCATGAATTCACAACATACCTGAGTGGTCAGGTAATTTTCTGGGACGCATGTGTTTCATGTGTTTTGTTTGTCCAAAAAACATTTTAGGATCACTGTTTCACATATAGAAATATGTTTATGTTTTACTGTGTAATGTTCTGCGAACCACCCCGATACCTCTTGCAACCGAGTGACTCACATAAGAGCTTATTTTATTCTGTATTAACATCTTTGTATCTGATATGACTAAACAACGTACTGCGTATAATACAACAACAAAAAAACTGCACCATTGCTGCATAGCGGGTTAAAAACAAAAAAATAATTTTTGTCGCTATGGAAAAAACGTAAAAACAAAAGCGTGACAGAAGAACATTAATTTTTAACTTTTATAATGACACACACACACACATTCATTAATTTTCCAAACAATTAGTATATGAAGAGAGATTATTTTGGCCATTTCTGCGTTTTGGAAGCATTTCACTGTGAAATTTGTGTTTTAGGTAAAATTAATTCAATTATATATTCATGTATATTAAGTAGCCACTTATCACAAGTTTTCTACGCTTAATTAATTTATTCATGAACCTAAGACTGAGTTGTTTCACAGCCATAGCAAGCATGACGATTTTCAAGACCCAGAAAATACAAAGTTGCCTTTTTTTTCTATCAACTACATTTCGCCTTATTTATATAGATAGAATGTAATCAAGTAAGAATGAAGAAAATCTCTATAGCTCTAATGATATTCACAAGAGCAAAAACAACAATTTAATATAGTACACTGTGTTATGTGTTATAGATAGCAACTCACCGACAAGTAAAATATAAGGGTACTTATTCTTAGTGAAATTATGCTAAACTTTGTCTTTTACATGCGATTCGAAATGAGCAGTGGTGTAAAAAACAACCTAAAGTCTTAAAACTGAGATAAAAAAATCAATTATGCAAATATCTACAAAAATGAATGTCATAAGCTCGTTTAGTGATTTTGTATTAAATGTAGATGAAAATATCCTAAACCATAAAACACACAATTTGGTATTAGATATTATGTTCGTTTATATATATATAGTAATTTTCTGA